GAACTTGTGGTATTAATTTTAAATTCATCTATTATTTATCATATATTATTACAATTCATATTGTTACTTATGAAAAACTACTATGTATATGCAAGGTATTCTGTTGAACATTCTGTGGGATACAAAGATAAATCAAGCATAAACTGTCCTTAAGATACTTATGGACTAGTATGGAGAAATAAGATACAAACTTAGGTAAGTATACAAGGAGTACAGGGTTAAGAATCACAGACAATTTAAATATGAAATTAAGTAAACAATCCCATTTACATTAACATCAAAGACACATAAAATACTTAAGAATACATTTAACCAAAAAAAAGTTCAAAGTTTATAGTCTGCAAAATACAAAATATTTGTTAGAAGAAATTAAAGAAGATCTAAATAAATGGAAAAACATCCCATGTTCATGTGTTCATGGATCAGAAGCATTGTTATGCGTTGTTGAAAAGACAATACCCCTCACGTTTATCTACAGTTGCAAAAAATTCCCTATCAGAGTCCCAACTGACTTCTTCCTAAAAACTGAAAGGTGATTCTAAACTTCATATGAAATTGCAAGGGACCTGAAATAGCCAAAACAATAGCAGAGTTTTACCCTGTTTTTCCTCATAATAATGAGCATGTTTTCTGGGGTTTGATTTCCAGTTTTGCCACTTGCCAGCTATGTTGTCCAGGTCTCAATGTCCTCATTACATAAAGGTGTTTTAGGAATTATATAAGTTAATACATAGAAAATGCTTACAGAAGCATTGGCACATTGTACACCTTGATTTTGCCTTAGTTATTATCATTATCATCACCTCATAGGGGTATTGTGAAGCTCAAAAAAGATAATGTATATGAAACTTTTTGTAATATACTGTTATTATCATTTTGTATTATAATGACACGTGTATCCACCATCCTTATAGAGTATAGAAGAACACGGACTATTAATTTTTAACAGCCTACATTGCACATAATAAATGCTCAGAAATTCATATTTTAGTTAACTGTTACTTTTATGACCAAATCACTAAGGACTTTCGATTATGCTGGGAATAAAGTCTAAGTATCATTGCATCAAGACCACTCTCAAACTTGCTATAAAATGTAGATCCCCTTATGTCTTCTGCTCTATCACTGGTCTTGAAAGTGGAGTCACAATGGACCATTCATTGCAGTGTGGGAGGAAAATTTTAGAAATTCTAACTACATGTAGTTTTTATCTCATCCTTTGTGAATTTTCTTCTGTTTTATATATATCTTTATTAATGCATGAAAAAATACTATGAAATGCTCTAATATGTAAATAAATGCTAAATGGATATTGGAAGTGTAGGTTCAAAAAATTTTCACTGGAAATCAGTGCGCTATCCCACAACATGGTCTTTCTCCTAGCGCCAAGCAGATCTTCTCAACTCTTTCTAGGACACAGCTTATATCTTTCTGTTCCCAAATCTAGCTCACAACCAGTCTGTTTGTTTGGAACGACAGTATGGCTGCCACTCCTTTTCAAGCTGCAACTTGCATACTTCACACCAAGACTAAACTGTCACCAAAGGAAAGCTTCTTTAAAGAAGGGTCTACACCTCATCCATCATGGTATCTACCTTGAAGCCCCCACCACTTCACCACACAAAAGGGTTTTCCATAATAACAGGCTCCAAATAGATGTTTGTTTCACACATAAGCTAACACAATATTGCTATCAAGAGGCAGGAGAGTGTGCTGGTTTACAGCAAAGGCTCATATCCGGGTTCTGCCCCTTACAAACTGGCTGGCCACAAGCTTCAGCTTCTTCCTCTGTGAAATAAAAGTAATAAGAGCACCTCTCTTATAGGCATATTGTGAAAGTGTATTTGGCTAGCACCTGGAACAAAACAAGCGCTTCATAAATATTAGTATTATTATGGTCTTCCTGAGACCCAAACCCAGTAATGTCTGTAAAGCCTCTAGTACACACTGAGTGAATAAGGGGGCTGAATTTTCTCTACCAGCCATGTTGATATGAATAATTTGTGGTGACTTCTTTCTCCTTCCTTCTAATTTATCACCTCATATTTATAGACAACTTTCTTGAGACTATCATGGCACGGTTCACTTGAATTGATTAGCTCATCTACTCTTCCACGTCTTATGAATTAATCTCTTAAGAAGAGTAACCATGTTTTGCTTTGGGTTTTGTTGTTGTTTGTGTAAGATTTATTTATTTATTTGAGAGAGAGAGAGAGAGAGAGGGGAAGAGGGGAGACAGAAAAGGAGAGGGAGAGAGTCAAGCAGACTCTGCACTGAGTGCTGAGCCCACGCGGGGCTTGTTCTCACAACCCTGTGATCATGACCTGAGCCAAACCAAGAGTTGGCCACTTAACCAGCTGCGCCACCCAGCACCACCCACGCACCAACAGGTACTGTTTTAACAGTATCATTGCTGCTGCTGTGCATTTTAACGAGATAAACTCTACATTTCCAAAAAAATGTGCTATGAATCTGGTAAACAAAACTCTCCTTTTGGATTCCAAAAGCAATTTTCTTTGCAGTTTTATGCACATATAGTTATTTATAAGTGTTGTAGGACTAACACTAGTTGATTCCTTGCCTAGATAACAAAATTACATAAAAGCATTATCTTGACTCAAAAACATTAGTAGCATTAATTAATGCAGCAAATGTCAACTGTCAAAACTTCATAAAATGTGAAGTGGGATAACTGCCATTTAGTGTACACTTTTTTCCTTGTCAATGGGCAAAATCAGGGACCTCTTTGATCCCTGTTCAATATTATCTTGGGGAGCCTGGGTGGCTCAGTCGGTTAAGCGTCTGCCTTCAGCTTAGGTCATGCTCCCAGGGTCCTGGGATTGAGCCCCACGTTGGGCTCTCTGCTCAGTGGGAGCCTCCTTCTCCCTCTCCCTGCCACTCCCCTTGCTTGTACTCTTTCTCTGTCAAATAAATAAATAAAATCTTTAAAAAATATATTATCTTGTATTTCCCATATCCCTTTAAGAAGTGGAACAATGAATTTCCCAAAGTATCATGCCACTTGAGTATAAGTATGTGGAGAAGATGATAGTGGAATGGTGGGAGGAGGCAGATTAAACAATTTCTTCCATCTTATGAACATTTGAGAGGGTTTTCCTTTGCCCTTTAAGACTTCAAGAACTCATTATCTTTTAAATCAACACATCCCATTATGTTGACACAGCTCTTAGATTGTAAAAAAATTATTTTTGTAGGTGACATAATTGTGTAGAAAATCCCAAGGGATCAACAACAAGAACAACACCTCCTGAAACTAATAAGTAATTACAGTAAGGTTTCAAGATACAAGGTTAATATACAAAAGCCAATTGCTTTCCTATATATCTGCAAGGGACAATTGGAATCTGAAATTCAAAACACAACACTATTTACAATAGCACCCTAGGTATAGATCTAAGAAAATGTAAACAGGATCTATATGAGGAAAAATATAAACTGAAGAAAGAAATCAAAGATCTAAATAAATGGAAATATATTTCTCTATAAGAAGACTTAGTATTGTTAAGATGTCAGCTTAGATGTGAATTCAGATACCTCATTGATCAATATAGACAAATGGCAATAAAGTATACGAAAAGATACTCAACATCCTATGACTTTAGGGAACTGTTGATTAAAACAACAATGAGATGCCATGACACACCTATTTGAATGGCTAAAATTCAAAACATGGACAACACCAAATACTGGTGAGAACGTGAGGCATCAGGAGCTCATCCATTGCTGGTGAAAATGCAAAATGATATTGTCATTTTGGAGGGCACTTGGATAGTTTTATAAAAACTAAACATAGTCTTACCATATGATCCAGCAATCACTCTCCTAGATATTTATCCAAATGAGTTGAAAACGTATGTCCATACAGAACCCTGCACACGAATGCTTATAGTTTTATTCATAATTGCCAAAAATAGGAAGCAACCAAGACATGTCCTTCAATCAGTGAATGGAAAAACAAACTGTGGTACACCCACTCAATGGAATTTTATTGAGCAATAAAAGAAATGAACTATTAAGCCACAAAAAATCATGGAGGAACCTTAAATATACATTGCCAAGTGAAAGAATCCAGTCTAAAAAAGCTATATACTGCATGATTCCAGCTATATGACATTCTAGAAAGGCAAAAGTATAGAGGCCATAAACAGATTGGTGGTTGCCATGCATTCAAAGGGAAGGGAGGAGGAGGGATAAATAAGCAGAGCACAAAGGATTTTTAAGGGCAGTGAAACTATTCTGTATGATACTGTAATGGTGGATACACGACCCTGCATTTGCTAAAACCCACAGAACTGTACAACACAAAAGCTGAACCCTAATGTCAGCTATGGACCTTAATTAATAATAATGTATCAATATTGGTTCATCAATTTAACAAATGTACCACACAAATGCAAGATGTTAATAATAGGGGAAACTGTACGGAGGACGAGCCGGAATATGGTAATTCTCTACTTTCTGCTTAACATTTCTGTGAACCTAAAACTACTCTAAGATATAAATTATATTGTAAAAAAGTCCATAGTAAATTAAAAAATTAATTCGCAGCAAATTACATATATACATGTGTATAAAAATACCTATATAATACATATGCATGTACACACATTCAGATGAAATAACGATACATCTTTTTTAATGGTAGTTTTTTAATATTGTATTCTGTTATTTTCCCTCTTCTATTACAGTGGTTCTACAGGGACTGTCATCAGGAAGTGAGGAAATGCAGGTAGTTATGCTAAATTATGCTTACAAGAAATGTGGTAGTGAAGGGAACTGAGCGGAGATGGATAGCTGTGGGAATCTGAAGGTCTACTAAAGAATTATTTTAAAAGGATATAATGATGCCAACTACAAAAATAGGTAGTTAGTAGCTCATTAAATTTTGCTCTTTAGTTATTTCACTTTCTTTCAAGGAATACAGATGGATACTTGAATATGAAACTGTTAAAATGTGAGGAAAACAAACAAGCACATACCAAGTCATTGATGCTGATCATTAGAACGTGCTGATACTCTCTGCCGTCTTTACCTTCAATATCACAATCAGATGATGTTACTGGCAACAGAACAAGGATCAGGGGAGGAATTCCAAAGATATACCTAAAAGAAACTAAATTGAACAGTGAGTAAGAATAAGCTGAATGTTGTAGGTCATATTATATCATTTGTGTCGTTTCAATAGGCCTGACCATTTATTTCTAATAGCTTTTTGAAACGCACCTTGGCTTTTGGATAGTGTGGGAAGACCCTAAAATTCAGTATTATGTAACAAGCAAGGTAGGACTGTATTTTAGAGTTTAAATTTCTTTTATTTTTTTACTTAAAAATTACTCTTTGGAAAAGCATTGAACGGGTGTGATGAAAGTAGACTCTCTGCCTTTGAAAAACACTCTAGGGTATAAATTGGTTTATTCAATTTTGATTTATATTGAACATTCTTACAAGAAAAGGCATCTACAGGTAAACAGGTAAACTACAGGTAAAAAAAGTTACACATTTTTGAAATTTTATAATTTATGGCATGTATATTTATGTAAACCCTGATGATTGTCCACGTCCCCAGCCTCTTCCTGGAGGCAGCACTGCACCTTTATTTCCATGGTACTGTGATTATATTCTTTCTTTTTAGTGATGGACCTTAAAGGGTTTTCCCTTCCCAGAACTGTGACAAAGTTGACATTTACATTTTGACACTCTATCTTTTCAGTATATTCTTTGTTTCTATGTGCCCAGAGACCCATATTTTCTACAAACACAGCTCTGTCTAGCTTCTTGACATGTTAGAAAAACCCATTAAATAAATTCACACCCTGGTAACTAATGATTTATATCTGTTTTTGATAAGCCTTCCTACTTAGAGGCATTTGTCTAATTGAAAGGAATGAAATTACAAATGGTAATCAGTTCGGGCAGTTATAATGCACTGATGGAGAGCCCGTTATTCCCAGAGACATTAAAATGTGTTTATATAGAGATGTATTTCTTCATAAGTCTGTCAAAAAGTCTTGTTTGTATCTTTCTGCAAACTCTTGAGTTACGTTGACAATATATCTCCTTTTAATTTCCCAAATGAAGTTTAAACTCTACTTGATGAGAGCAAGACATTCCACACCTGTGTCTTTTTGATTAGGACTACAAACAATACTCTTTGGAACCCGAGGAACTAATATTGTGACATATGTTAAATACATCATAAAGTTCCCAATAATATTATCAACTATTGTATCATTATCTGTCATATAAAAATCAGTAGCACTCCCCAATAAATGATGAGCTATTTGTTACCCATATTTTTACAAATAGAGAAAGCAGGCTAAACAGCAGGTATGAGAACAAACACAAATCCTACATCTCGTCTCCATACATCACGGACACTTGACGAGGTAAGAGAAACAAAATAAGACATGGAATTGATTCATAGCTCTGCCACTGAGAGTCTATACACATACCAGCAAAATTCACTTAGGAGATTAATGATGATGATGATGAGAGTTATGTTGGAGTACCCATCATGTGCTAAGCACTTTGTTACCTTATACCTATCTATAAAGATCAAAAAAGTCCTACAAATTAATCTTTTGTAAAAACCAGATAGTAGGTGCCAGGTCTGGATTCTAACCTGGGTTTACTGCCTCACCAGGTTTTGATCAGAAATGGTCATAATCTTTTGATAACACGTAATTACTTTAGTCCTCTGAATGAAACCACTTCTATGTAGTATTACATAGCTCTACCTCTCTCTTGTACTATTGCTCTTTCATCCTGAAGATTCTCAAAGAAGAGTCAATTGCTATTTATTTACTAGATCCTGACTTTGCAATTGGATTTGTACAGACTGCATAGACCCAAACTTCGTTTTTTTCTGTCTTCTTACAGGTGTCCAAAAAGGAACACTTTGGAAAGAGTAGATGATAATGTATATAGCATATAACTTGAAATGAGTTTTAAGGGGAATATACTAAAATAAATACTAGAATGAAAAAAGAGACCTTTTTTTATTCTACATACATGTTATTTTAAAGGTCCATCTTTTACGTTTTGACAGAAGGAGGTTGTTTTATTTTCTATGAGCACTGCCTGTTGTGTCCTCTTCACCCCAACTTTCAGTAAGTGCTCCCCAAGTTCCTATCGATCCATTTGTTCATTGAATGACATCTACCAGTGCTTTCAATGGTGGCTTGGTAGAAAACTTAGTCTTTTTCATGTATTACAACTAGTTTTTCAATCCTGAAACATAATTTGCCTTGGGGTGCCTGGGTGGCTCACTCGGTTAAGCATCTGACTCTTGATTTCTGCTCAGGTCATGATCTCAGGGTTGTGCAACTGAGCCCCGCCTCAGGCTCTGAGCGTGCAGCCTGCTTAAGATTCTCTCTCTCTCCCCCTCTGCCCCTGCCCCCTCTTGTACATGCATTCTCTAAATAAATAAATAAATGAATGAATAAATAAAATCTTTTTAAAAAATGGAACATAATTTGCTTTGTTTATAAAGACAAAGCCATTGTTGCCATTGTTGTTAAATAGGCTAGCTCCAGACGGACTAGGCCAAAAACAAAACACAGAGGGTTGGGGTATGGAGACTTGGGGTTTTTGTCTTCGTGTGACAAGGGGTTGTATGACAATGGGTTGTGTGACTAAGTGAGTGACAGCGTCTTTTAAGTTTCATTTAATTTATCTGTAAAATGAAAACTTTAGACTAAATGATCCCTTAATGTCCCTTTCAACTTTCAAGACCTTAATTCTAAGAATCTCCCTGGCCATCCCAATAAAGTATTTCTTTAGACTTGAAATCGCCTCATGGACAATACTGAAAACACACCCAGGGCTTCAGACCCACATCTCACATGTTCCCACCTCTCAAATTAACAACTGCAGTTTGGTCTGCAATTGAAGTCTTTTCTCCACACCATCCAGAGAATAAACATATTAATATTGCCTAGTTCGAGCATGCTTTTGACATTGTTGTCACAATAGGAAAAAACTCTGCTTTTATTCTGTTTTGTTTCAGATTATGCGTAGACATTCACCCCTTTCATGACCTTGAACTTTTCTTTAAGTTACAGAAAAGACAAACCATAAGGAATAATGCAAGGCAAGCTTGGGCCTGTGGCATTTTGTCTTTAGATTTCCTGAAGGGATTGAAACTGGAGAATTTGCTTTTCAATAGGGAATTTGGTTACACCAGAATGATGGCTGTCTAAAAAAAAATTCTTGTTGGTTTTTAATTTAAGCCAAATAATACATTCGATCCTCAGCTGCGTAAGTTATGGGGTCAAAGTGAACATAAATAAATTAGTTTCTACAGCCCAAATCCAATCTTTCATCCCTCTCTAAGACAAGTAAGTGCTTATTGAATGTCCACTATAAATATTTCATAGACCCATTTTCACTGGGAATTAAAAAAAAAATACTCACAAAGACATTCAGGATGGAATAGAAAACATTATCTGAATTCTGAATATATAATATGACTTGGCTTTAATATGAACAATTGGCACAAGCAAATTGGTGCATAAAGAGAAGAAAAAGTTAATAAACAGAAAACAACCATGAGTTGTATGGAAATCAGCTCGTTAAGATTACAAACATAAATTTGATTATCCTCATATAAATAAATCTAATTTCTGCCACAATCAATATTAACACTGCTCCATAAGCTCTATCCACAAATCCCATGATAAACACTTAAAGACATTTCTGCAGCCATCCTATGATACTGCATGCAATATTTCATTTAATCTCATAACCACTTCAGGAGGTAAGTACTACCAATTATTCACAGTTCTACAGATGGAGAATCTAAGGAACAAAGAAACTTTCCCCCCATATATAACATGTATAGTATGAGACAGGTTAAAGAGTTTGGAAACTCAGCTTTTAGCCACTGAGCTGCACTGCTTCCTACAAAAACAAGCGTGTGTGTGCGTGCGTGCGTGTGTGTGTGTGCAATCAAAAGAATGTACTAAAACCCATCTTTTTCCACATGAACCTCACTAAGGTGCTTCCTGGTCAAGCTCTGAAACAAAAAACAGACACAAAATATTTGCTCTTATGACACCAGGTTATGTGTCAGAGGTAAGACCAGAAAAAACAATCTCACGTGCATGAATGTGAATATGACATACAAATGGGTCCTATAAAACAGCTTTTTCCATTTTTGTTTAAGATACTGAAACACTGATGTGGTACCATGTGTGATTCTCCTTTGTACCTGTTCAGGCTTTCTCATCTTTCTCAGCTCCCTGTTTTTATTACTATTCCATTTTTGGTCCTCAAATGTGATTAAATTGTCTAAACTAGATAGTACACTTGAGAACCACATAGTAGGGCCTCAACTACTTCAACTCCCCAGAGAAGCAGCAAAGGAAAAGTTTAAAGAGTAAAACTACCCTTAAGCTTCTTGTAAAATCTCTTGGAAATGCAAAAGCCACACATTATAATCACTATTATCAGAAGTTTAGAATTCTAATATTTTGTTTGCAAATAGCTTTTGGTAGATGAATAATATAGATACACTTCAGGAAATAAAGCTCCTTGTTAAAAATGCACATCCTCACTTTCTTTGTTTTTGTTTTTTAACCTCGCCATTTCAAATCAGAGGTGATGCAGGGATTAAAACCAAGAGCTACAGGAAAGAAATAATGGCGGGAGATCCACGGCATTGGGAGGCAGAGAGGGATATACCTAATTTCTAATTCTATACAAAACTTCTGGAGGGCACCCTTTACAAATCTTTTTCCATAATCGTCTTCCGTACTCTACCCACCCCACCCCCTTTACGTTGTCACTGATCTGGTACTTCTTGGCTATGCCAAGTCAAGATTCTTTAATACCTATGAGGGAGGAAAAGCTCTTTTGATCTAAGGATGTAGCCTGCAAAGCGCACAGGCCAGGCATGAAACGGAAGAGCAATTTGCTCCCTATTCCCGCACCCTCCCCCACCCATCTTTTTTTTTTTATTATTATTTGCCTGAGGAAGTATTTACTATAAAATATTCTAATTTCCCTCAGAAGATCTTCGCCCCTCACATCTCCTTTTCTCCTTTTTTTTCCCATCCAGTGAATTTTTTGGCTCTTTCCCTTGGCCGTATGGGAATCCAGCTCGCTCGCCTTAGCTCTGCCCTTGACGTAGTCCGCACGAATAAAAATATATTAGATCTCGGCCAAGGTCTAGAATTTAGACTTAAGACTATTTAATACTGCCTCCACCAAGGAGCACCCATATAGCAAAAAACAGAAACCCGAAACTCGCCTTTCTCGGTGCCAGCCCGAGGACTTGGGTTCCCAGCAAAGGGCATGAGGTACAGCCCCAGTCGGAAACTCCCAGCCTCGCTTGAGGGGGTTGAAACGGGGCTTTCCAGAGACCTGTCCCCATAGGGTTTAAAAGCGCGTCCCGTGGGAGCTTCGCTTTCACTTCTCTAGATAGTAGGGAACTACACGAGCTCAGGTAACTCGCCCCAACCCGAACGTCAGTGAGTAACTGGGCGCCGCCAGGAGCACGGGTACAGCGGGCAGGGCGCCGGGTAGACAGAGGGCAGCGCTGGCTCGGGAAGACTGACGGCGAGCCATTGGCTACCTCTGAGACCTGGCTGCCGGCTGCCACCGCTGCGCGGCGCGGACGCTGCAGCGCCGCGTCTCGGGACGCAAAGGCGGCGTGGGGGACGGCTTCTCGCCGTGGGCTAGGCGCAGCAGTCCCGACTGCAAGTGGCGGCTGTGGGCCAGGGTGCCAAAGTGCGGCTGACGCCTGCCCGTGGGAGAGCAAGTGCTCTCAGCAGGTCCAAAGTGCAAGGCTGGGCTGTTCCTGGACGCGCCTGGGCGCGGGGCCCGGCGACGCGTCCTGGAGTCCCCGGGCGTGCCGGGCGCGCGGACTGGTGCGCCTGGGAGAGGAGCGCTTACCATGGAACATGGTCTGCGGGAGGCGGGCGTGGTCATGATGACCGCAACTGCAGCAGGAGCAAGCTCTCACCGCCCATAGTCGCTGCCGGGACCCTTGTCTTCCGCGGAGTTGCCGGGAGTCCGTGCTGGGCAGGGCGGCCTCTGCTGCTGGTTCCTCTCACCCACACCGCGCCTGCTGCTTCATCCATCCCAAGGGGGGCGGCACACACCACGGCCCGGCTCTGCGCTTTGCCTTTCCCATAACTTCCGTAGGATCAGCCGGCAGTGTACTTTCAGTTTCTACTTTGCGCCGGGTCTGCAGGTTTGATCTTTGGGTTCACCGCACCGCCCCACCTCTCTTGAGCACCTGCGTCCTCCCCTAGCTCTTCTTGTGCACCTGAACCGGGACCAGAGGAGGGCGCGAATCTCCAAAGCACCACAGGAGGAACGAGCTGGCCTTCTGAATGAGAACAATTCGAGGCAAAAGACTTTCCAAATGATCTCTAACCGTCTTGGCAAAGCTAGGCGACTGGGATCTAAAAGTATTGGTTGCTAATCTGTGGAAGCCACAAACGTGTAGGGCGAAAGCTGGGCAATTGCAAGCCTACGCCACCAAGGAGGCGTCGCAGCTCTTGACACGGATGTAGTGGACGATGCCAAATCGTCTCGGAAAAAAAAGAAAAAGGAAGTAAAGAAAGATTAAAAGGGTCACGCCCTCCGCCCCTCAACCTCTGTAATCAGTCTCTTTCTGCCCTGTGTTTTGTAGATGCACCTGCCTAGGTGAGACCTCAAAGAAAAATAATCCTGTGGGTGCATCTAATCTGGTAAGTGGTATGTTTGGACCCGAAACACAAATCCCAGATTAGGTGGAGAAAATGGAGACTGACTATAATAGTTGATAACTATGACTCCCACCTATGCATTTATCTGAATTGACCAATAGGTCATACTAAGCATTTTTACTGTGTTTTACTGAGGAGTTAATTTTTTTTCCTAAGCTTGAATTATTTTAGTATTTCCTGTTTGAATTTGTTTTCTGATATTCTGCAGGAACCCTGCTTAAGAGAAGGTGGGTAAAGTAGTAACAGTGAAGATGATAACAGCTATCATTTATCTAGCATTTGCTCTGTATTAATACTGTGCTAAGCATTATATATATATATATATATATATATATATATCCTCTCATGAAAAGTTTTCTATGAGTAGACACTTTCCTTATCAGCATTTCACAGATGTGGGAACTGAGACGTCCTTAAGTAACTTGCCAGAGTTCACTTAGCTGGTTAGTAACAGAGCTTGGACACAAACCTCCTGTATTCTGGCTCTAGAGTTCATGCTTTGCAGCCTCTGTGTTAGCCATCCTTGTGAACAATGTGGAAATTGATGCCAGGAGGGAGACAGGGTCAGGTATCATGTGGGTATGTCTTTGCCCCACTGTGGGGGACCTCAGGAAAGCTTTTTGGGGTTTCTGAGTTCTGAATTGAGACTCAGGCGGGAACTAACCTAGGGATGTGAACATTCCAGATTCAGTTAAAGTGTGAACAAAGAAAAGAGGAAAAGAAAGAAGGGAGAAAGAAGAGAATAACAGTGAGAGTGAGACAGAGTTGCTCAAGCCTGAAGCTTGGATCTCCATTTCCTCTTTTAGTCTCACTTCTTACATCCTATCTGTAGGCAAGTCTTGTCAACTCTACTTCTAAAATAAATCCTGAATCCAATCTGTCCACTCTGTGAATTGCACATGGGCAAACCATTAAAACCCTGCTGTCTGGGGGGATCTTCCAGCTTTCACTCTTGCTTAGGACCCCTTCACTCTCCTCATAGCAGCAGGGTATTTGATTTATGCAATGTCATCTTCTGTGACCACCCTCTGGCCACTTGGCACTGTGCACCAAGCCTTCGAGGTCGTCCTGGGTGATCTGGGTGGTACTGCCTTCTCTGATCCCCTCTGGTACATGACTCACTCCTCTCCTGCTGTGTTCTTCCCTGTGCTCAGCCAAGCCTCTGTCCACTTAGAATAGTATCCAGCACACAGGTATTCAGAAAGTATTGTTGAGTGACAGAAGGAGAGAGAACAACTGGATGAGAATGCATGAATGAGACCATGCATGAAGAGAAGATATGTAAAGGCAGGAGGGAAATAGGAGGAAAGAGGAGGAGAAGGAGGGAAGCAAAGGAGAACAGGAGACAGGATGAGGTGGGAAAAGCCAAGTATTTCCATTTGACGGGATCCTAGAGTGGGAGGTGGGGAGTGGAAAAACAGGAGTGACTTTTAAAAATGAATTCTATAACGAAACACAGCTAGATCGGTTATTTATTAGTTTAAAATCCCTGACAGCAGCCTTGAGCTATGTAATTGCACACAGCCTGCACTTTTTTTTTTTTTAAATACTTTTCAGGGACAGATAAAAGAGCATCCATCAATAACTTCCTCAAGAGGAACTCTGTCTTCCTTTTTCATGAAGTCACCATAAAACCTGGCAGAATAAGGGCTTGTGCATAAGTGAACTTTTGGAAATCATGAAAGGAAATTATTCAGAGCTCCAGGAGAGGACATGTAAATTCCACCCTAAACTCTGACCCCAAATGTGAAGAATCACTCTGAAAAACATATTCATAAAGCATTTGGAGTTTTTACTGGTATATGAAAAGGGATGCATTCTAACTACATCAAGTTATTATTTTTCTGTGTATGAGAGGATTAATAGCGTTTTGAAAGAATTCCAAAATGAAGTCTTAAATTAGTGGTTGATATTTCGATAAGCGAAACATTATTTTTTATAAGACAGATGGACAAGGATCAGGGACACCTGGGTGACTCAGTCAGCTGGGCGTCTGCCTTTGGCTCAGGTCATGATCTCAGGGTCCTGGGTTTGAGTCCCACATCAGGCTCCCTGTTCAGCTGGGGAGTCTGCTTCTCCCTCTGCCTCTCTCCCCTGCTCCTGTTCTCTCTCACTCACACACTCTCTCTCTCTCTCAAATAAATAAATAAAATCTTTTTAAAAGAAGACAGGTGGACTAGGATTAAACATTCTATGAATTTTTATATGCTAATGTTTTATGCTTAGAGAAATGGAGTGGTTATTATAATGTTCACTCATAGACTCAATGAATTGTGCAGAAAAGTCAACACAGAAACAAAACAGTACATAGTTTGTGACTTACAACCAATACATATTAGGAGGGGGAAGACATCATCTCAGAATGATTTATACAGTGTAATAGAAAACATTGAAATAAAATGATATAACTGTCTACTTAAAGGGAGAATTGTTAAAGATTCATCAATGTTTTTTTAATTTTTTTACAATCTTCCATCAAATTAGTTAATCAGTGGTAAACCTGAAAATATTTTCTTGATTAATTATCTGAACTATTTTTGCCCAACCTAATATGACTATTGTTTATAGTCTGAGACCTGAATGCTAGCTATCTTTTCTGTCTGTGGATATTTTTTGAGGTTCCTATGGCTTAATTTTCCAGGCATAATACTCAACGTATTTCAAACATAGACACACAGACAGACATGCCACATACACATAAAGCCTCCACGTGTTCTATGTAGTCACACAGGGGCCTGTGCGTGGAAGGGCTCCTTGCTTGGTTTAATACTCTGCTATCACTGTCTTGGAATTCTTAATTATTTTTGGACAAGGGGACTTTCATTTTCACTTTACACTGGGCCCTGCAAATTCTATAAATGATCATGCACACACATACATGCATATCTTCAAGGTGGTTTCAGTCTGGTGGGGAAAACATATGTTAAATGTGTGACTTTAAAGATAAAGAATATTATGAAAAGGAAAGGATGAGATGTATTTCAAACAAGCGTTTAAGGCAATCTAGACCCATTTTAAAAATTAGTGAAACTAGGATCCAAAAAAGGTGAATATACCTGTCTAGTGGAAAAAACAGCTCTAAGTGGATAACTTATAATTCTAAATCATATCTGTTTGATTTTCAAGCCTGAGCTTGAGAATGGATTTTAAATTTTATCAAATGACTGCTGAGAATCTATTTACAAGGTCATGTTTTTTTCTTATTGTATTTTTAAAGAAACTATAAATTTACCATAATGCTAAATTCAAGTTGCTAATATTTAACAGATTTTGCCATTTTATTTGTAATTGGTATAGGTCTGTTCTTTATATTATATTTAAGTAGGCTTGGGCTATTTTGTCAGATTTTCTTAGTTTCATAAAGGGATTTGGAAATTCTATTGTTTTCTAAAACTGTATTTAATCATTATATGAACTATTTGTTTCTGGATGATTGACTAGAGTTCAATAAAACATACTTAATTTCATGGGATGCAGCCAAAGGATAGGATGAGACTGTCAGTTTGAAGCATTAGAAGAGTCAAAAGAAAAAATTTTCTTGTAAGGCTGAATCCGAATATTAGGACCCCTGCCAAAAATGTGTATGGAGACATGAAAATGAATGAAATCATCCAACTTAGAAGAGATGAGAGAGAGAGAGCTAATGCCAGGAGGGACCATGAGACACAAACATTAGGGGTAGTTGGAGAAATGGGTGCCCACCAACAAACTGACAAATAGTGGACAGCAGAGTAGGAGAGGCAGAAGTCAGTGTCCCAGGATAGAATTTCAAAATAGGTTAAGTAGTCAGAACCTCCAAATGTCACAAAAAGATCGAACAAAAGGAAGATTGAAACATGTGTCCACTGATGTGGCAGAGTAGAGATTGTCTGTGGTCCACATGACAACAATTTGAGAAGAGCAGTATAGATGGAGACAATATTCCAGTTTGTGGAACACAAGGGAAGATGCAAAGAGAGGAGACAACTTTTAAAAGATCTGTGGTAAAGATAAAAGAAATAGGGTAATGGTTTGAAAGGCATGTAAAGCATAATGGAGGTTTCCATTTTCATGAATAAGAGGTACTAGAGCATATTTATATATTAATTGGTAGAATTAGGTTCTCTGGAAGAAGTAGGAAAGGATATGCTCTATCTCAGCGTCCTGAGATCATTACCTGAGCCAAAACCGAGAGTTGGTTGCTTAACTGACTGAGCCATGCAGGCCCCCAATTTGACTTCTTTTTCTAATATGGAAGGCTGTGTGTCCTATTTAAATCCTTTTATCG